GGACTCTGCTTTGCTCTCTTTTCTTTTTTTTTTTTTTCTTGTCTTCCATTCCCTTCCCCCTTCCCCCTTCCCCCTTCCCTTCCCTTCCCAGCTTTGCTCTTTTATTTTCTTTTTTAACTTTGCTCTTTTCTATAATAACTGCTGGTTGGCTGCCAGCTCCAGTCCTAGGATTTATTTCTCTAACTAAATAAGCAAACATTTCCACCGAAGCCCAGGGAAGGATTACAAATAGCAGGAAGCAAAAGCAAACCTTTTGCTATGATGCTTTTAGAGCAGGGATTCTTGACTTGGGCACTGCCGGCACTGGAGTGGGAACCGGTCGGTGGTGGGGCTGTCTTGCGCACACAGGAAGTTGAGCGGCACCCCTGGCCTCCACCCACTAGATGCCAGTAGCACCCCTGCCCCAGTTGTAACCACCAAAGTGTTTGTAGATAGTGCCCAGTGCGTGCCGTGCAAAATCGCCCCCAGCTGCCCTACAGACCACTCCTGCTGTGACTTGTCTCCTTGGGGAGTGAGCAGTGGGAGACAAAACCCTGGGTCTGAGGACTATGCGGGGACCCGAGGCGACCTGTGAAAGGCCGTCAGAGGAAGCTTTCGGGGTGTGCTGTGAGGATTCCCAGGGTTTCAGCGTCCTGGGCAGCCATGGGCTTAGGTTCACAGCCCGGAAGGGGCAGAGGACATAGGCCAGCATCACTTCCCTGCTTTTCTAGGTAACCTGGAGAAGGATCTCAGGTGGCCCAACTGTACGTGCTCTTGGAACGTGCCCGACTCTGGCCATAGTTTCCTTCTTCCTCCTCTTTCTCCCACTCTTGCCAAGCTCTCTCTACAGTCTTGGCCGCGTGCGCTTCTGCACCTCTTTCTTCCACTGACGGCGGCTGCCAGGAGGGAGGCATACATGTTAGACTTCTGTGATGGCTGATTTCAGACCGTGGACAGGGTACCGGGTGTTCTGATTTTTTTAATTTGGAAAACATACTTATTCTAAACGTAGGTAACCTGCTTAATGCCAAGTGTGGCTTTCATGAAAACATGTATGTGAAACCTTTGATTTTCACTGCTTTGAAATTAAAAGGAGGGCCCCCTTTTCGTGGACCGATTTTGCTGATGTGTTCTCAGTCTTCTTGAAGAAGGCTGACACGGGATACGGTCCGTGTGCTGGTCCCCATGAAATGTTCTTGGGTATTTCCCGTTGACTGGCTAGCCAACATCACGGGCGGGACAGGCTGCAAAAGGAGAGCAGAAGGGGAGGGGACATGGCTGAGCTCGGTCAGCTGGAGGCCCGGGGTACAACAAAGTGCTGATGAAGCGCCCCTCGCGCTTCTCTCGCAGCTGCTCTCAGAGCTGAAACCAGTTTGCTTTCTAGTGTGCACATTGGGGAACCACCCCTGCCCCCTGTGTGGCCCTCTTCTCCAGACTGGCATGGAGGGTGCCTCCTTTGTCCTCACTGGCGTGTTCTTCACTCTTGTGCCCCAAGAAAGGAATCACGTGGCTTCCTATGACCATGAGCCAGCCGGGCTTTGGAAGGCATCCTCCAGCTTCTAAACCCCTCAAGTTTCAGGCACCCTCATCCCAGATCCCCATATCCACCTCCCCCTCTTACCCCAACTCACCGCCCCTCCCCATGAGGCTTCCATCTGTCTTCCTTGCCAGTCTGTCCGTCTTTGTTGAGAACCTTCTAGTGGCACAACACTGTGTCAGGATCTATGGGAGGGACCAAGAAGAAAAGACCGGTGTAAATGGAAGTCATTGGAGGCAGGATGTGACGAGGGCCATCTCTGTGTCGCAGCGAGGATGGCAGTGTTGTGGAGAGAGGGGGGGCAGTAGAACCAAGAAGCGCTTCCCAACAGGGTGGCTAACTTGAGTCAAGGGTGCCTGACTTGGGAGTCGAGGGTGGGCTAAAATTCCTAACCTGCCCTCAGCACAGGCCTTCTGTCTGTTCTGGACGTGGGGTGCCGGCGGGTGTTGAGCAGGGCAGGCCAGGCACACGTCCCCATCCCTTTGCTCACCCTGCCTCTGGACCCCCGGATGGTGCTGCTTCCCTTCTAGGCCCAACCTCGTCTCTCTGGACCTGAGCTTCAACGACCTGACAGACCTGCAGGGCATGATGGCCAGCCTCAGCACCCTCCGCCGTCTGAGGCTGCTGGTGCTGCAGGGGAACCCGCTGGCCCTGCTGCCCTACTACCGAGGCTTCACCATCGACAGCCTGTCCCAGCTCTGCGTGCTGGACGACATCACCGTGTCTCCCAGCGAGAAGCATCAGTTCCGGGGGCTCGGCCGCAGTGGGGGTGAGGGAGCTGATGTGCCCAGTGGGGAGGCGCCGGCATCTGACACCTCGAGCCTCTGCTGCCTGTCCACCATTGAACTAGTGGTCTGTCCCTGCAGCTCCCCAGTTGACCCACACCCTAATCAGGCATAGCTCACCTTCTCAGTCAGAGTTCTGTCCCAGACTTTTGATGCCTGTGATTGGGATTTGGGGATAGAAGCAGTAAGGAGGCAAACAGGAAACATTCTTTAAATCAACTTCTTTACTTTTGTGGCGGTTTGAGATCACCCCCTTGTGGCCCATGCCACAAGCTGCATCAGAGGTTGTTCAAGGTCAAGATGGTGATAATAGCTATGCCTACTGTGAGCCAGGCTCGTGGTAAGATAACATGTACTCTTCATCTGTAACCATCCTGTAAAGCAGCTACTACCGTTCCCATTATACAGACCCAGAAAACAAGGCTTAAGAGGGGTGTCTTACCAAAAAGGGACTTACCCCCAAACAGCTGTTGGAACTTGGCAGAACTGGGACTTGAACCCAAGTCTGCAAACTCTGAGGCTCCCCACTTTGTGGAGAGAACGCAAGAATCCGGCTCCCCTGCCGTCCCCCTCACTCCTACCCATTCTCCCTTGCAGACCTCTTGGCACGTCAGGCACAGCTCGTGGTGACCATTGGAAATGTCAAGGGGGTTCAGGACACCTCTGTCTTAGACCCGGAACCAGGGCCCCAAGGCCCTTTTATCACTTACAGCTATTATGTGACCTACGATTTTGTAAAAGAGGAAGAAGGAGAAGGAAGTGAATATGGTGGTGTCCTGCCGGAGGTGTGTGATCCGGGGGCTCTTGCCCCCCCCCCCCCGGAACTGGGGGGGGGGGGGAGGGAGGGCTGGGCTGCACTGGGGTCCGCAGGGTGTCCTGCGCAGGAGAACAGCTTCTCAGCTTCTTGGGGCCCAGGAAACCCCTTCACAGGGAGCTTTCTGATTCACACCCTCCTCCGAGAAGGGAAGAGGCTCGTTCAGCCCCTTTCTTGAACCTCCTCCTTTCTTTCACCTCCTTCCTTTGCCCTTGAATATGAGCCAACGGCCTCACAAGGAAACAGCATTTACAACCAGGTTGGTTGCTCCCCGCGGCATGTTTCTCCCCTACTCCATCACCCTTCCCTTCGGAAGCAGACCTCATGGTGTCATTCGTCCAGGAGCAACGGAGGACACCCCAGCTTCTGCAGAAATTGTTACTGTTCTTGCCCCTAAGGCAGTTCTCTGAGAAGGGGCATTAAGAAAACCCTTCCTGCCCCAGTCTGTGTGTTCGCTGGCTCCGCAAGTTCACCGTGGCGCGGACACCTGTTCACGCGCACGCGCGCTGCGCGCCCTGAGAACCCTGAACACCGCGGCCGGGCGGGTGTGTGGTCTCTCTCGCAGATCGTCATGCCCTCGCCCAGCGCCGAACAGCTGGCCGAGGACATTCCGGAGGACGTTCCCGAAGAGGTCTTTGAAGAGCACGAGGACTCTGCGGAGTCCGAGCTGTCCGCCCAGTCGGGAGAGCGCGAGGATTCGCTCGTGTCGGGCGGGTCGGCGCCCTTGCCCGGGGTGGCCGACTCCGCGGAAGAGCTGGCCAAGCTGCGGCCGCGAAGAGACCCCCGGCTCTGCCCCTCCCCAGGGTAAGGACGGAGACCCTGCCCTGCGGGAGCCCCTTCCTCATCCAAGAGCAGGGCACCCCCCCCTGCCCCCCGCCCCCGGGCCGCGCGGGACGGGCCGAGGCTGCGCTCCCGGCAGTGCAGGTGCGGCCGCGTCGGTGTCCGGCACTCCGAGCCCTACCTCCCGCGCTTCCTTCCCTCCGCCCGGCAGGGCTGCAGCGCCTTTCCGCCGCCAGGTGTCCCGCCGCCAGGTGTCGCGCACGCGGGCATTTCTTAGTCACCCGAGAGGACAGCACTTTCCGTTTTAGCCCTCAGAGTTGAGAGTCTTTTCAGTTTAACTTCTTGGTACGTGGAACGTATCCTGGCATCCGACCCCTGGTGTGGATCTTGCAGCCTGAGCAGCAGGCTCTTCCTTACCCTCCTAAGGCCCCTCTGGCCTCACAGCCCCCACAGGTGTTGTCTTATCTGATGAAGAACCTTTTGATGAAGAATTTTTAGGGTCACTTCTCATTAGGTATTGAAGCTCTATTAACTGATTTTTGTAACTAATTTCAAAACATTGAGCCTGATTTGGGTTTATTTAATAATAATAATTACTATTATTATTATGCCAACATGGGCTTGAACTAAGATCAAGCTGAGATCAAGAGTGAGACGCTTAACCGAATGAGCCACCCAGACGCCCCTGGGTTTATTTTTTACAAAATTCAACTGAGGGTAAATGATAAGGTTTGTGGAGAATATGGAAAAGCTGCAGTGGCCCATCCACTTGTGCTGTGTTCCCTCAGGTGACAGAACCAGGCAAGTGGCCATCCCCGCTGCCAGAGAGAAGGTGGGGGACAACCAGCCACCCCCGTGCCAGGCTCCTCAGTCAACCACAGCCAACGACTTTGTGGTTCTTGGTGGTGTTGAGTTTTTGAAAACATAAACAAAAAAGAGCCGCAAATAATTCTGCTTTAAAAATATGTAAATTAGAAAAATATGTACATGAAAAAATAAGTTTCTTCTTCTGCATCCATCTAACCTATCCTATAGAATGAATTACTCTTTTTTTTCTTCTTCTTTTTTTAAGTAGGTTCTATGCCCATCATGGGGCTTGAACTCAGGAACCCAAGATCAAGAGTCACAGGCCTTACTGAGCCAGCCAGGCCCCGGAGTGAATTACTCTTTATTATTATTTGAGAGAGAGAGAGAGCAGGAGAGGGACAGAGGGAGACAGAGAGAGAAAGAGACTCTTAAGCGGGCTCCACACTCAACATGGAGCCCAATGTGGGGCTCGATCCCATGACCCTGGGATCATGACCTGAGCCAAAATCAAAAGTTGGACACTCAACCCACTGAGCCACCCAGGTGCCCCCAGAATGAGTTATTCTTAATAGTTTTGTGCACGTAGTTCCCTATTTTTTTCTTATACACTCATATATATAAACATATATACTCATATCTTTTTTGTTTTAAAAAAATAGACTTCTGTATATCAATTTGAAATTTGCTGATTTTCCATGTGGCTGTGGACACACAGATCTGTTCTACCATTAAAAAAAAATAAATGATTGAGGTGTAACACACACATAGAGAAATATCCACTTTACAGCCAAATGATGAGGACACTGAGGTAACCACTGCCCTTGACAAGTAACAACATACCAGGACCTCGGAAGACTCCTTAGGCCCCTGCCTCCTCCCCAAGGGTCACGGTCAACTCAACTAACACCATTAACTAGTTTGCCTGTCTTTGACCTTGATCTAAATGCATCGGGCAGTAATCCTTTGTGCCTGGCCTCATCTCCCGCTGTGCACGTGTGTGCACGTCTTCTCAAAGGCCTGGTCCTGGTCCCAGGCCACAGCCTCCCGGGTGATGGGACCCCTGTCTTCATCCCCCTCCCCAAGGACCGTTCTCTTCAGCACTGTCCGCAAGCCCTGGACTGATGTCATCCCCTGCAGCTACGAGATGCAGCACACACTCAAGGACCTGGTGCCACTCAAGGCTTTCCTGCTGGCGGGAACCACCGTGACCATCGTGGAGGAGACGGTGGGTGGCCGGGATCCCCCTTTTCCTGTCTCCCGGTCTTCTGTCGTGGGGCCCCGCTCCCTTGTCGGCAAGGTCCCAGCCAGCCCCAGGCTGGCCTGTGTTCACTCGTGGCCGCCTCGCCGTCCCCTAGATTCTCTCTTGGCCTGCGGTGCTGCCTCCTGTTGACGTCCCGTTGCCTGCCAAGAAAGGAAAAGGGGAGAAGGACAAGAAGGGGAAGAAGGAGAAAGACAAGAAGGGAAAAGACGGGAAGGACACGGCAGGGAAAAGGGAGAAAGAGGTGGCAAAGGTACTGGCCGGGCTGCCAGGTGCCCCGAGGTGGTGGTGGTGGCGGCCGTGGGCACTCTGGGCACTGTCCCTGCTGGGCCCCGTCCACTCTCCTGACCTCTCTCCACAGGAACAGAAGGGATCCAAGAAGAAAGAGCTTCCTAAGGAGCTCCGCCAGGACCCGCCCATCCTGCGGGTGCTGGGCAGTGGCTTGGTGGTCCTGGAGCCCCTGCTGGCAGGGGAGCCACTTGTGTCCGAAGTGTGCAACTTTGGGGTGATCCGCACTTTGGAAACGGACAGGCTGACGTCCCTCAGGGTACAGTAGGGCCTCTGTCACACCCCTCCCCATCAAACCAGTGCTGGGCAGGGAAGGGTTATGGGGGGGGAGGGCATCTCTGAGCCTCCCAACCTCCTCCGGAAGCCCCCGTGCTGGCAGGGCCCTGGGACACCTGGAGAGGAGGAAGGCCTCTCCCTAGGCCATGTGGCGGTGCCCAGCTCCCGGCCCTCTGGGTTACTGGCTCCTTGGGCAGCCTTCTCAGGTGTGGGGAGCCAGGTTAGAGCTGCCCTGCCTTCCTATAGGACAGCACCCCTTCCCCGGTGCCCACCAAGTCCAGTAAGCATCTCTTGTTGTGGTTCTTCCTCTCAGGATTCAAAGAACAAGAACAAGAGAGCTAAAAAAGGTAAGAATTAACGGCGGTAACTGAGAGCAGGGAGTGTTTATTTAAATAATGAGGATTTATTGTTCATAATTGACTCAGAAATAACATATGTTAGAATTAGTAGACAAGGACATTAAAGAAGTTATAATTATATTCCATATATCTAAGAACCTAAAGGAAAGATTGGTGGTGGTATGTAGCAATATGGAAGATAAACTAAACTTTTAGAGATGAACACTACCATGTTACATTAAAAATACATTCAGTGGGATTAGTGGCATATTAGACAATATTAGACAATTCAGAAAAAAAAAAGATTAGTAAACTGGAAGCAGTAGAAACTATCCACAATGAAACTCAGAAAAATGGTTGGAAAAAAATGAATAGAGCATCAGTGAATTTTCAGACAAATTCAAAGGAACTGATGTCCATGTAGTTGGAGTCCCCAAAGGAGAGTGAGGAGGGCAGAAAGACTATCTAAAGAAATAACTGCTGAAACACTTCCTCCAAATTAGATGGAAAATATCAATATACCAATCCAAAAAGTTAAGTGAACTCTAAACACAAGAAGCATGAAGAAAACAAAACCAAGCTAGATAATAATAAAACTGCTAAAAGTTGGTGATAAAGACACATTATGTACAGAAGAACAAAGATAAAGATGACATCAGATTTGTCATCAGGAAAATGTCAAATAGAAGACAGTGGAGGAAGTCTCAAAGAAAAACATCAACTTAATATTTTTTACCCAACAAAACTATCTTCCAAAAACAAAGGCAAAGTGAACACTTTTCTAGACAAATGCTGAAAGAATGCATCACCAGCATACATGTACTACAAGAAAAGTTAAAAGTAGTTCTTTAAGGAGAAGAAAATACTAGATGGATCTGGATCTGTACAAAGAAATCGAGAGCATTGAAAATGGTAATTGTAAGTAAATATAGATTCCTTTCTTATTTAAGTATGTTTAAATTATAGTTAATTGTTTAATGAAAAATGTATATATATATATGTATATATGTATATATATATATAACCAATAGAATGTACAATAATAGCAAAAAGGCTAGAAGTGGGAGTAAGGAAAGAAATGGAAGTGTATCATTGTAAGGTTCCTATTTCTATGTGAAGTGGTATAATATCACTTGAAGCCAACAAAGGAGTAAAAAGAGGGATCATAAAGATAGTTATTCTTAAAGAATAAAACAAAAAGAAACAGAGGACATGTGAGTTAATAGAAAACAAATAAGATGGTAGACTTAAATGTAATCATATCAATAATTGCATTAAATGTAAATGGTCTAAACACCCAATTAAAAGGCAGAGATGATCAAATTGGATAAAAAAGATGCAACCATATGCTACCTACCCGAAACCCACTTTAAATATAAAGATACAAAAATATTAAAAGGATGGAGAAAGATATTCTTGCTAACACTAATAAAAAAACAGGAGCAACTATTAATATCAGACATAATGGACTTCAGAGAAAGACTATTACCAGGGGTAAAGAGGGTTATTTTGTAATAATAAAGGAGTCAGGAGGATGTAACAATCCTAAGTATGCAGCTAATAATTGAGCTTGAAAATATATGAAACAAAAACTGATAGAACTACAAGGAGCAATAGACAAATCCAAAATTATATTCAGAGATTTCAGTACACTTCCCTAAGTAACTGATAGAACAAATAGAAAATCATTAAGGATGTAGGAGACCTGAATCACACTGCCAATCAACTTGATGTAACTGACATCTGTAGAGTACCCCACCGAACAACGTGAGAATACACCTTCTTTAAGTGCACACAGAACTGAGATATTCCATAATCTGGGCTATTAATAAAATCTCAATAAGTTTAAAACAATTCAAGACATACAAAGTATCCTATCCTCTATGACTACAGGGGAATTAAATTAGAAATCAGTAAAAGAAGTATGTAAGATCTCTCAATTGTTTGAAACTAAATTACACACTTTTTAAAAATCTTTTTTAAATGTTTATTTTTTTGAGAGACAGAGTGCGAGTGGGGGAGGGGCAGAGAAAGAGAGAGGGGGAAAGACAGACACAGAATTTGAAGTAGTCTCCAAGCTCTGAGCTGTCAGCACAGAAGTCGGACGCTCAACCAACTGAGCCATCCAGGCGCCCCTAAATAACGCACTTCTAAATAATCTATCAGTCAAAGAAGAAATAAAAAAGGAAATTAGAAAATATTTTCAACGTTATGAAAATGAAAAGATAAAATATCAAAATTAATAGAATATAACTAAAACAGTATTTATAGAGAAATCTATAGCACTGCATACCTATAATTAGAAAAGCTTCTAAAACTATTGAGTTTAACAGGGTTGCATGATACAGGATCAGTATTCAAAAATTAATTGTATTTCCATATACTAGCAATAAACAATTAGATACTGAAATTTTAAAATACCATTTACAATGCCATTGAAAAATATGAAATAGGGATAAATCTAAGGATGTGGAAGTTCTATACACTGAAAACTACAAAATGTTGCTGAGAGAAATCAAAGACTTAAATGGATAAATATGTACATGGATAGGGAGATTCAGGATTGTTAAGATGTTGGTTTTCCTCAGATTGATCTATGATTCAACCTGATAGCAATCATAATTCTGGGGGGATTTTTTTTTTTTTTTTGGTAGAAATCAGCAAGCTGATTCTAAAATTAATATGGAAATTCAAAGTATGTAGAATAGCCAAAAACAGCTTTGAAAAAGAACAAAGAGGGACACCTGGGTGGCTCAGTTGGTTAGCGTTAGACTCCGGGCTCAGGTCATGATCTCACAGTCTGTAGGTTCCAGCCCTGCATAGGGCTCTGTGCTGACAGCTGGGAGCCAGGAGCCTGCTTTGGATTCTGTGTCTCCCTCACTGTGCTCTTGCCCGCTTGTGCTGTCTCTCAAAAATAAACATTGAAAAAAAAAGTTTTTTTTTTTTTTAAAAAGAACAAAGGATGTACACTGCCGGACTTCAGGGCCCATACAAATATGGACAATGGGCATGATTTGTAATCAAGCTACGGGGTCAAGATGGTCTTAATTTTCTTTTACTCTTTTGCAAATTTCTTTATTGTCTGGCTTAATTGAGGATAGGTGCATTTGAATAGTTGCTCCTGCAGCCCCTAATCTCTTGTGATGTGTTGCTGTGATTGTAGTGTATGAAGAAAATCCAGTCTCACATGGGCATGAAACTGGAAAAGAAAGGGCTATTTTCATAGGCTTTCAAATAACTGATATCTTAGATATTATGTCAAAATTTGACAACTAGTTTTTTAAAGCCTGTTACAGTGTGAATACTGAATCTATCGTTTTTGCATAGTTACCTTAAAATCCATTAGTCTACATTGCTTTTTTTTTTTTTCACATTGCATTTTGAAGGGCTATCTTGCCCCTGCACAATCTGTGACGTCAGACATTGGTTATTTGTGAAATACTGGTTCACAGAGTTATGCAGATCTTCCAACCGTTGACACGTTTCATTATACATTATCCAAAAATCATATTCTTCATCAGCACCCGTATGATTAGAAAAGTCTTGGAGTGTTGGGAAACTGTTAAGTTCACGGTGGCGGATGCGATGTTCCAAAATTCTAATTTCTACTCGAAAGCTCAAATGTCATAAATGTATCAAAATGCTTTCTGTTGTTTTCCCCGCAATGCCAGGCTTCCTTCGTTTGCTTTTTAGCAAACATCTACCAAATATCCGCGTCCGAATAACCATGGTTTGTCGGTGTTCTTTCAAGAGAAACCGGTGTTCCCAGACACGTGGCTAGTTCATCTCGCAGCTCCAACAGCTGAGCCTGGTTAAACGATCTGATGAGGGGTGACTGAAGTGTGTTCCTTACTACGCCGACAACGAAGCTGCGCTCCCCCTGACTCGGAGGGCAGCTCTGCGTTTCCGGGATGCGGAACGAGCCCGTCCAGGACGGCCGAGAAGCAGCCCGCACGCCCCTCGGGACTCACAGACCCGCGTTTTTATTTCCTCAGAAAAGACCAAACCTGCGGCTGCAGTGTACGACGCCGACTACCAGCCCCAGCCCTTGACGGTGGAGGTGCGGATCGAGCTGAACCAGTGCCGCACGGCCGAGGAGGCGCTCCGGGAGTTCGCCCTGTAGGGCGCGGGATTAAAGGCTGTTCTGACCACCGCAGCTCCGCGTCCGTGTGGCCGCCGCGCCGGGGAGCGGGGGGTGGGCCGGGGCGGCGGGGCGGCCTCCGCGTCCGCAGGTGTGCGGCGGGAGCGCGGAGCCCGGAGGGGGCGGGGCCCCGCGGCGGCCCCGAAGCCCCGCCTCTCGCGCTGTCCAAGCAGGCCGCGCCCACCGGCCGAGCGGAGCGGAGCGGAGCGGGAGGTGCGAGGCTAGAGCTCGCGTCCGCGCTCGGCCGCTCGAGCTCCACGCCCGTGCCTGGCCCGGCGTCCCGGCTCAGGTAGGTCCGCAGGGGGCGGGTTGTGCGGGACCGTGGGTGCCTGGGGCCGCGCTGCGGGCTCAGGGGTGTCTCACTGTGCGGGAGAGGGACGGGGCTGCCCGTGCCTCTGCACCCCGGCGCGTCCGCGAGGACGCCGGGTCTGGCGCGCGGGGTCGTCTCCGATGTGGACCGTCGGGGCCAGGCGGCCTCCTGCTGCCCCGGAGCCCCTCGGCCGCTGTTGGCCCGCCGGGGCTCGGACGGCCGGAACCGGGCGCTGTGGAGCGGGCCAGCCTCCGCGGGCAGCGCCGCCGCGGGTCCTCAGGCCCGGGAGGGGCGTCCGCCGCGCGGCCCCCCCGCTCCTTGCTCTGGCGACCCCGCCGGCCGACGGCCCCCACAACAGCCTGTTAGAGACCGCGGCGTGGAAAGAATGAACTGGTCGCTGGCGCTTTCCCTCGTCGTAGCGTGTTGGGTCGCCGAGCTCCAAGGACCCCAGGCGGCTGTCACCCCAGAAACAACTGCAGACCCTTAACACTCAGCACTACACTTGCGGGGGTGGGGGTTGTGCCCTCGCTGAAGCCCACGCCGGGTTAAGAACCAGGCTCTTGGGGGCTCTCAGTTTGGAAGGAGACCTACATTCGCAGGTACTGAATCAGGACTCACAGTAGCGTGTACGGTGGGGAGCAGAGGAGTGGCCCGAGAGGGGGACCGTGCTCCAGGCCGGGGCGGGGCGGGAGTTGCCCGTGGGCCGGCGTGCGGGGGAGCCCGGGTGTGTGCGCGCGCAGTGGGAGCGCTGTGGGCCGAGGCGAGCGGGGCCGCGGCGCACCGGCCTCCGGAACCAAACCGCTGGCCCTGCGCCCTGAGTTCTCAGCCGACGGGGCCGGCGCGTCCCCGGGCTCATCGCCCACACCTGAGAGTCATTTTCCCCGCCTGAAGGCCGCGTAGCTCACCTGGCGGTGCAACAGTTTCCTAGCCGGTTTCCTGCCTCCTTACAAAACCCATCATCTAAGCCGCAGCAGTAGGAATCTTTCACACGAGGTAAATTCTGTCACCACCTCTGCTAAATCCTCCAGTGGATCTCTACCGAGGATAACAATAAACCCAAGCTTCCCCCCTTGCCTCACGATGGCCCTTTTATGTATGCCTTCCCGTGCTCTGGCTTCACCTTCTTCCACTTTGCTCCTTGCTTTTAATACTCCAGCCACAGGACACTCCCGTCCTCAGAGAAGTCTCACTGCTCCTACTCCTGGAGCTCTGTTTAACTCTGCCTGGCACACTCTCCCACCAGAGATCTGTGGTTCGCTGCATTCAGTTCTTGTTCAGATGTCCTTTGTCTTGGTGCCTGGGGGGCACGGTCTGTTAAGCGCCTGACTTTTGGTTTCAGTTCAGGTCCTGATCCCACCCTGGTGAGATCTAGCCGGGAGTCGGGTCCTGTCTGCGTTGGCAGCGGGGAGCCTGCTTGAGAGTCTCTCTCCCCCTTTCCGCCCCTCCCCCATCCGCCTGTGTGCATGCGCTCTCTCAAAACAAGTACCCTTGAAGTCAAACGTTCTTTATCAAGGAGAGCTTTCTCAGCTACTGCAGTTTGAAATAATCTTCCCCAGTCACTGTGTTCCATTACGCTGGTTTAATTTCTTCTCGGCACCGTCTCAAGTTGGTATTGGTTTTGGTTTTTGGTCTGTCTCTTCTCTGTGGCCCTGCCTGTCTTGCCGGCCTCTGCATCCCTAGCGGCTAGAAGAGATGCGTTTGTGGCAGCCGCGGCGGCAGGACCACGGGGATGAGGCCAATGCCGGCAGACTGGATAGAGGTGTAGGCCTGTAGGACCAGGATCGCGTGGCAGTGGAAGTGAAGACGACGGGCCCCAGGCCTGGCTGTGCTACTCTTGACTTGATCTTGGTCAGGTTCCTCTGCTAGTTCCCGTTTCTGGGCCTTCTCTTTGGATCGCTGGGATACTCGCTGGGAGAAGAGCAGAGCTTAAAGGGATGGGAGAGGGGCCCCACGGGGGAGGCAGAGCTCCAGCTCTCCTTTCATGCTCTGCTGTGCAAGTGGTTTTTTCTTAAAACCCCATTTTAAGTAACTCCCCCCAAAAACCTGGGAGAAAGAAGAAACTTCCAAGAAACTGGGGAAAGAAGCTTCAGACAGACCTGAAGGGTGTATTCTGGGGTCCCTGTGGCTCCCTTTCTCTGGAGGAGCAAAGGCCCTGGGGCAGCACCTCGGAGGTCATCTCTGCGACATCCTGCACAGGGCCTGCCGCCAGCAGATCACGGTGCACACTATTTCAGGGGAAATGGTTTGACTTTAGATTCAAGGGCCCTAAATGCTTAGAATGTATTTCACTGGAAACTAAACTAGCTCCGTGCCATTTTTATAAGATACTTGAGTTTCCTGGGACATGATGCAAGTGCTCATGGTTTCTCAGTTTTTTAAATTTTATTATTTTTTAAGTAATCTTGACCCCTAACTCGGGGCTCAAACTCGAGTCGCATGCTGTGGGGTGTCTGGGTGGATCAGTCGGTTGAGTGTCCGACTTCGGCCAGGTTATGATCTCGTGGTCCGTAGGTTCGAGCCCCGCATAGGACTCTGTGCTGACCGCTCAGAGCCCGGAGCTGCTTGGGATTCTGTTTCCCTCTCTCTCTGCCCCTCCCCAACTCATGCTCTGTCTCTGTCTCAAAAAAATGAATA